CCTCCAGTTAAATACTGCCTACTGCCTAAAGCAGAGTAAGCCCATGGCATACCTGTGCGAACAGGGTTGGAAGGAGAAGAAGGGGGTGAAAAATGGTGCTAAGAAGATCAAGTTGGAGGATGATGAAGAGAAGCCGTCGAGGGGCCTGCCTGTGAAAACACTGAATACTGTGAACAGAGAAAGGAATTCAAGACATGATGCTGAGCCTCACGTTGCTTCGGTGAGGATTTGATTTCCTATGCCTTTTATTTTTGTCCCCAGTCTGCACTGTTGGTTAATAGTATAGTAGAAAGAGCAAATATGTGTTCAGCAGTGAGGAATAAATTTTCTGTGGTTTATACTTGTGGTCGTCGGCAGATACGCGACATAAGAGTCTATCGACATGCTAGAACAGTATTATGTCTTGTACCAATGTGCCTAGTTGATGTTGATGTTGATGCTTCCTATAGCATGCCTGAAAACTACAATGCTGCATTTTGCATCACATTAGTTCTGAATAAATTAATGTGGTGTATAGTACTTGTTAAATATGGAGGGGCATTCATTGCATCTGTAACCATTCAATTTGAGCCGATATGATCAACTGTAGTTCCTCCAACTTACCTGTTTGAGAAAATGCCAGTTCGCTCGCCTTATTTCTTGATTGAAATGACATGCTGTTTACAAAATTATGGTGGTACAGTGTCCTGGGGGGCAATACATGGCACTTCCTGATTATGACTTAATAAACTATTTAATGCACACCTCTCTTTAACATTCAGAACACACTTATTTTAGAGTGAATTCAATTATTTTTGTTTGTCTCCTTTGGCTCTACTTGTATTTTTTTTCTTGCATATATACACGCATTACAACCCTCTCCTAATATAAAAAAAGTACAGAAATTGGCATCAATGATCTGTTCAATAATGTTTTCGTTTGCTGCCTTTAGTGCAATTACGGCCCGTTATTATACCTCAAGCAAGTGGCCTAGGGAGGGAGGATTGGCATGAGCCATGGCATGCTTTGATCTGCCTCGAATAAATATCACGCAACCAGGTCTGTGCTAATTTGGATGGAGCAAAATAACATGCAACCAAGCCCAAGGAAGACTGCACGCTTGGTTTCATCACCTTTTTCTGTTTAGTGATCCAACAGGGGATCACTCTAGTATCCAAGTGAACATTCTGAGTTCATGGTGCTTTGCTTCTTTCAGCACACTTTGACTACACAAATACGGCAAATTGAATTTTTGAGACAAATCAAATATAGAGTTGTATTTCTTATGGAATTCTAAAACATGTTACATGTCTGTTTCTGACCAATCTGGACTTTTATAACATATAGTTGTGTGTGTGGTTTCCTTTTTCTTCTCTCAAAGTTTCAAGTAATGTTTGGCGATGCATCCATTTATGAGAGGATATCTCTACTATACTTAAAAAGAACGTAAGGTTCCCATTTCACCTTTCTTTCGTCTAACCTTCCATATATACGTCCCACTCTTTCCTTATCCTCTTTGATTTTTTCCTCCCATATTTGATTTTTCTCTCATCCATTCAATTGTCTCATGTTTATTGTCTTACCAAAATAAACACATATTTTGTTGGCAAGTCATTAAATTCTTACCAAATAAGTGTTTAACAATAAAATGGCAGATAAATTATGGCGATTGCATACAAAGATTTGGTAAGATTTTAGCGTATCAATATAATAATATACGTGGATTCTCAAAAACAATAATACAATAATAGACGTGCAATCAGGGGCTAATCCCGTTGCAACGCACGGGCAATTGTCTAGTACATATTAAAGACAGGATAGTTATCCGTTGACTACGGAAATCTGGACATATACCACCACCAGATATCCACAACATTTCTCTCATGTTAGGCTTCAGCTCAAGTTTGGGTAGCCTAGCCCAGGTCAATTTGGGGATAGCAAAAAGGAAAGAAAGTATGACGATGGTAGAGATGAGCACAGTAACATTAAGATTGACAAAATAAAGGAAAATTATCCACTTACCATATTATGCATGGCAGGTTTGCTCAGAAAGCCTATATGATCCAGTTAAAAATCTTTAGGTTTGAACTGATCATTCAAATATTTTGTTAGATTTTTCCTTATTATAAAAGTTTTTTAAACTATATTTCTCATATTCTACATACTCGTGAGTCGTGATAAGTTCATTTTTTCACAGGGCTTAGATGGTGTTGTATGGCCTACACATATCATGGAGAGGCCAGATTCAGAATTCAAGGAAAGGTTGATCCGTGTTCTCCGCAAACCATTTAGCCAGGGAGAATACGATATGCTGCTTGGCAATGCTAGAATTCGCCTTCCGGCAACAAAGAAAAGGCAGACGCGCAGCGGTGTGAAGTACTACGACTCTACACATGAAAGGGTGCAATCATATTTTGATTGTCACCCAGGTATGCTTGCTTTCATATTATGTGCATACTTTTTTTTGGTTCTTTGGATTTTTGTTACGTAATATTTTCCTTCTTGCTTTCATTGTTGAAGTATTTTCTGACAATTATTTCAATCACCTGGCTGAAGTAACTTTATGCATTGCATAGGATCAGAATCGCTTTTCCATGCTTACCGAACAGTCTGTCTTGTTATTTATTACACACTTGTGGTTGTCTTTGCTTGCAATTGTCATTTTCCTTTTGGACATTGTACCATTGCGCTTTTTCCGTGATTTGGCTTATACGGTTGTTAAATCTATGCCCAGAATAGCTTGCTGACGTTTTGCTTGAATCTATGGTGGACATACACTTTCTATAGATACACTTTAAACCCCTGTAAGCCTAGCTTAATTAGCAGGACTTCAAAACAAAAAGGGCTGTGGCATTTTCATAATTTTGTTGCACAAATTGTCATGTAATGCTTATTGTCTTCTTTGAGAAAATGCAAAGCTTGCATCTCGATGAATTTATAGAAAAGAAGTATCTGTGCTAACCTTAGAGAGGCCACAGCTTAGCAACACAATTACGTTATGCACAATGACTGCATGATGCAGAGGCCGGGGGTGATCCTCCTTTTAAAAAAATAAAAAAAAATCATCAGAAGTCCAGCTGCCGCTGCCCTGGCAGACACCTATGACCTTGCCTTAGACACGATGATTGAGAAAAGATCGCGCACACATTCCGTTGCTTCTGGGCTTGTCATGGGGCAAGCTGGATCTGCAAGGAGACCCCCTTCTGCTGAAGTTAAGGTGTCCTCATGACCATTTTCTTCGGGCAGTCGACGAAATCTCTGCTGACCAGTGGCCACTGAAGGTGTCAGGACCAAGCCACCAACCTTTATCCTGTAATGTTAGCATTCCAATGCTGAGTGTCCTCTGTATTTGTTTATGCCTAATATACGTGAGTAATGTGGTGCATTCATAACAAATGGCTCGTGGAGGGGTGATGACAGATGGCACTCCGCGACAACCTCAACAATGTTTTTCTTCTCAGTGCCGTGTGTGTCTTTGTGTAGGTGGTCAGGTCGGCAGGCCGATGTTTCCTGTGTGGGCTGTTGTGACGTTTTTAGCTCAGTTTTCCCTATGTTAATCGGACAACTCGGTTCTTCTTTTTTAATGAATCGAGATCCTCCAGGGCCGACTAAAAAAACAAATGCCTGAAGTAGTTTGTTGTGGAGTAATATATACTGATAACGAATGTGCTGTGTGGACTTAACAATTGAGTAACTTAATGAACTTTCAGCACATGTCCAAAGGTCCGTGGGAGTGCAAAGATAAATTCCCAACAGATTCATTATATTTGCTACAGAGTATAATAAATGGCTGTTTTGCTTGAGAAGTTGTCTTTCCCAATAAGACGAGAAAGTAGTAGCAAATCATATTGGTACGTACCTGGTTTGAAGTAATGTGGTATTTGGCTGTTTAATAAACACTGCTTATGTTCTCTAACGTGATGGATTACATGTTGTAGTATTAATTAACACGTTGTTTAATATTTAACTCCAGATCTTGCGAAACAAGTACGTGTAGAAAGCACCAGCAAACCCAATCAGCTAGCTCTGTTGCGTGGATTTTTCTTCTGGATGGAGGTAACCTCATTCATACCATTTCTTTGATTTTTTCGTAATAACCCTTTTTGCATGCCTGCATAGTATCAAGCCTCTAACAATAATGGCTCCACCGGTTGTTAAAGAACTGAATTGTAATAGTAGTATCTTTTACCTGTTCCCAGTTAGAGCAAATCTATTTATTTTGTGTTTAGGTTACTTCTTTGTTAATGGATACAGCCCAATATTGACCTGTTAAATATCACGCCAGTATGGTACAAATCATTGCTAATGGTACAAATCATTCTTAATGATTTTATTTGCAGCATTAATCTGTCCTATCTTACTGGCATGGAGTTGCAAAGTACTAGCAGCCACGGTGCATCAGTATGGGTTTTTCCTGTTGCTAATTTTGAAAAGTTATGGTACAAACCTAGTTCACAACAGGGTAACTAGCGTGATGAGGATGGCCAGGACGGCACGGCATTGTGAATGAGAAGGACTTGGGAGGATTAGGAAACGATAAGGAAGAACTTTGGAAGACACAAAATTGATTCCTTCATATTGCTTAATTGTTAACAGCATGTGGCAGCTTCCTTTTCTTCTCATATAGTGCATTTTCTCTTAGTGGGTTATTAGATTAGATAGGGCTGACTACCCACTAACTTGTGTGTCCCTAACAATTTATTCTATTCCTCTGCAGAATATTACGAATGAGGACCAATTCAGGCCATGGAGTGACGATTTCAAACTTTACAAGATCATGGAATGAGAAACTGAGGTTTTCCCGTGGTATTGTTATTTGTCAGCGCAACTCGTAGAAGTGATGCTACGAGAAACTAGTAGTCTATCTTGGTACTCAGTCACGACCCTGTTTGCTCAGCATCTCTTTCAGATAGAAGGTTTATGGACGGCAAGATGTTGTCTGACAGACAATGTATTGTTTTGTAGTATAATGTGCATCAAGTGCGTAGATACAACCCGTCAGCTAGCATAGTTGTATGTATCTATTTCACATCAGGGATCTGGCTGCTGTTGAATTTGACGCGGGGTTTGCCCATGCTGAAGTTGAGCACTCTGGATCTCATGTTGTACTTGATCTCCCCGTCATAGAGCAGCTTGCGGATGTAGTGCTCAAGATCTGAGCCGATCAGACGAAGCGTGTACTCCGACAGTGGAGCTCCCTAACAACAGCAGAATTCAACTCAGTACAGTCCGACACTCCCACTAGTTTTTTTTTTAAATCAACATGGCACGACTAGTATATACCCCAGCATTTCTTGCTACCATGCTAGAAAATTCTGCTACATGAAGCTGGTTTCCAAATTTTTGGTAGATTTAATGTATCAGAAGTAGATGAACATGAAAATGTTCATTTTGCCACGTAGTGCACGAATGGTGGTATGGTTAGTTAGTTTACCTTGTAGTGGTCGACGAGGTCCTGGAACTCGTTGTAGACCATCTGGTAGGTCTCGTCGGTCCAGACGAACCATGAGCGTGAGCTTGTCCGTCTGCGTCTGGTCGAAGGCGTTGGTCTCCATGTGGATGTACGCGTCGTAGATACGCACGTGCCGCGTCGTGCAGCTCAGCCACTGGCTGCCGTACTCCCGCCCCATGTTCTTGCTCTCCGCCAGCGGCTGCCGCGGCAGCGACTGCGCGGGCCCCTAAACCGCAGCCGTCGCCGCCGCCGCCTACTCCTCCTGCAGCGGCGGCACCGTTGCCGCGGCCCGTGGGCTCCTCCTCTTTCACCTCCTGCTGGGCTCGCACCGGGAGGAACCGGACGCTTGGGTGTCTTTTGTTACACTATTAGATGTCTTTTTTGAACTACAAATTATATCTTTTATCTGCCGATTATCATAATTTGTAATTCTTGGAAGTTCATTATATGTCCTCCGACCAGTAAGAACTTGATTGTCAATGAAAAAGATTGGCACAAAGATAAATCCAAATATGATTTTATTTTTTACTCCCTCCGTCCCATAATATAATAATATAAGAGCGTTTTTGACACTAGTGTAGTGTTAAAAACGCTCTTATATTACGGGATGGAGGGAGTACCTCTTAACCATTTTTAAAATGCTATTTATAGTGCAACCTTAATCCATAGCGCACAAACAAATTGGAGACGAAATAAATGTAGTAAGAGAAAAACCTCATCTTATGCCACGAGAGAGACGGCTTACGATTGACCAGATTTAAGGACGTTGTGGTTCTGTAAGCACTATGATCATCATATGCGAGATTGTGATGATGGACAAATGGCAACAAGATGGGATGCCATGTTGAAATAAAGAACATGAACCTATTGGTTTCTTGACTTGTGATTATTTGGGTTAGAGGCATGTGGTATCTTTTTCTTCTGTTACAACGCACGGGCTGTTTTGCTAGTACTAGCAATATGTCATTTCAAATATCATGAATCACAAGATAACTTACTTGCAAAAACTGATGACAATCATGGAAAAAAAATATAACATGACTATTTGAATTCATCTGTTGCTTTGGGTCGCTAATAGCACCAACACGAAAGTTCATTGCACACTCACACCAATTATAATCAGTTGTGTATTCACTCCTATAAAGAGCTGACCAATAGTCAACAATTGTGTAGACGATTCTGATGATGGGGTTATCAAGTGTCTCGTAATAAATATAACACTTGTTGCCTTTAACAATGTATTTTCAGCTTGACTCGATTTTATTGTTAACTCCATTCCCAAAAAGTTCTCAACTTATTCAAGACTATGACTATAATTTCCAATCATACCAATATTATCCTCGAAAGAATCGACATATATATGTCTAATCATCATGTGCATTGATCTATCTTTGTTCACAAGGATTTTTTTAACACTTTTTCCAAATCATTGCCATAAAGATTGACTTTCCTATCTTCTGACAAATTGCAACACTGTTCCCTTATATCAGTCACATTGAAGATATTTAATGTACTTAAGGTCAACATCTGTCAGGCAACTTCAACAATCCATCAAAGTTGATATATGTAACCATCGACTTTTGTACTCTGAACACCCATCCAAAACAGCTCGTACATGATCAACGTCTAATGTAGATTTTCAACTACACTCCTGATCTTTATTATCTGGAATGGAAACTTTAGTTTGGCTGACATCACTGTATCGTAATGACATGTTGTGTGAACAAGCTAACAAAAAGTAACCAAAACCATAAATTGATCAATTAAGTTTTGTTAAAGAGAACTCAAAATAGGTCATTAATACTGATATTTCTCTTAATTTGTTAGAACAATTACTAAATTGATCATGACAATGTGATACAAACTACACTTAGTAAATAAATATTTATATGTATCATGTGATAGAAGTAAATTTATTAATACACGGACATAACACTAAGTTTCAAGTTAAGACGATGATGATTACATTTGTGGATTAGTCCAATCAATTTCATTCCAATAGGGTAATTCCATGGCAGCATTTTTAAAATATTATTTGTCATGGAGTCAGATGAATAAATTAACTAAAATTTTTGTAAGTTTCATTGATAGAACTAGTAACTTAATACTAAAACTTTAAGTGTCACCCTCTGTAACTTAATACAACTTTGATTTACATAGATAACTATAGGCCTAGCAGTTGTATTGCCGTTGCAAGTTTCAAGATTGTAATATTTCATAGTAGAATTAATATGTCGAACAGATAGATACTACAAACTAAACAAGCGAGTACACTGTAATCTTAGTAGTCATGAATTCAAACCAATAAACTAACTAAAATTTGAATAGATTAAGTTTCATCAAGACGAAATGGATGGTATGACTCCAAATATTATGTTTCAGTCTCTATAACTTACCACAATTTGTTTTTAGATACATAATAACACGCGTAGCAGTATTATTCCCCTTGTAAGATACAATATCGCAGCACTTCACAACACAACGAATTAATGTATCCAACATATTTGTACTACAAACTAAACAAGCGAGTTGAGTCATACATACCCAAAAGAAAAACATTAACGACAAGATTCGACCAGTATTATTCACTTCAAATTGCTATACAAGAACAAGCAGTTATGGACAGGAAATATACAAGCAGAACAAAGCCTTTTTAGCAAAATCTTCGGATAGAAGTCCACTCGTGTTGTTGATACCCTTAATGTACTTCAGTAGATGCGAAGAATAACAAATCTTGCTCCAGGGTGGTATTTCTTATAGGATGAGAGTGAACTAGAAGGACAGACATGAAAGGATGAATGGTCCGAATGAATGGTTTTGCTTTCGCTGTTATTTGTCTATGTTAGATTCACTTATTGTATATTAGACTACCCGATGTTGAGTAACGTGATTGTATTAGAAAATATAGGATAAACTAGGAATATTCTGGCTTGTCTTGTACTCCAAATAGATCATGTACTCCTATATATATGCCCACGAGGTTCAAGCAATACAACGAACTATTCCACCAATCCTCTCTCTCTTCTAACATGGTATCTATCGCAAGTCGATCCTAAACCATAGCTGCCGCCGCTTCCGCACCGGCGCGCTGCCCCTGGGGCGGTCGGCCTTCATGACCGCCGTCGGGGGCCGTGCCGCCCGTACCTAGGGTTCGTCCGCCGGTCGTGTTGGCCAGCTGCCCTAGAGAGTCTTTTTTCCTGATCTTTTGATCCGGATTTTCTCTCTCTCGCCGGTCGCTTTGATCAGCGTCTTTTTTTTTGGTTTTCTGGTCCATGTGATCCGGTTTGCGTCGCCCACCGTCGCCGTCGACCCCGTGCGCCTCTACTCCAACACCGGCGCGATCGGCCGGCTTCTTGACCGACCCGGCGGCCTCGCGCGTCGTCCGCGCGCGTCGTCCACGCGTCTGCCCGTCGGTCGCCCCGACCCGGCGGCCTCGCGCGGCGTCCTTGCGTCGGCCCGCCGGTCCCCCCGACCCGGCGGCCTCGCGTCATGTGGCGGCCCTTCACCGCCGCCGTTCGCGCGACAGCCCGCCCGTCGATCTACGACGGCCGTCACCGCCCTGCTCCGACCGGGATTCCTGCATCACCCCGACCCGGCGGCCTCGCGCCATGTGGCGGCCAGTCATAGCCGCCCTGCCGCCCGCCGCCGCCGGCTTCATCTCGGACTCCGCTGCCACCGCGCCTCCACCGAGCGGCGTCCCCGACCTCGCGCGCGATCGGATTGATCACCCGCCCGCCGCCGCGATCCGCCTCATCTACGTCGTGCGACCGACCTGGCCCGTTGGTTGCGCGCGCCTCCGCAGGCCCCGTGAAGACCGTCCCGAGTTCAGCGCGCCCCTCTACCGATCGAGCAATGGGCTGCCGCTGCGTCGCCCCGTCGGGCCGCAGCGCCGCCGCCCCGTGGTTCTTCTCCTAGCTGCACCGACCCACGTCACCGATGCGTCGCCCCTTCGGGCCGTAGTACCGCGACCCGCGGTCCACTGCCGCCCAGAGACCGTCTGCTCCAGGTCGTCCCCGTGGCGGCACCGACCCTCGCGCCGCCACTGCATCGCCCTGTCGGGCCGTAGCGAGCATGGCACGCGGTCCACACCGCCATCCAGAGGCCGTCCCCGCGGTTGCACCGACGACCCGCACTCCTCTGCCGTGCCGCCCCTTCGGGCTGTCGGGCCGTGGCCCGCGGTCCCTGCCGCCGCCCCGAGGTCTTCCCGCCATCACCCCGACCTGCCCGCCGCCGTTGCATCGCCCCTTCGGGCCGTAGCGCAGAGGCCCACGGTCCCCTTCGTCGTCCACGCGCGTTGACTTCCCGTGGTATGTCTCGCGCCGCCTTCCTTGGCGCGGGAACGCCACCTCCGCGCCGGTCTCCGTCATGCTGTCGGGTTCTTCGCCTACTTCGAGCACCGCCGCCGCGCTCTTCTTCGGCCGCCGCCGCTGCAGCCGCCCGTCCACCCCCTTCGTCTTCGTCTAGCACCAGCCCGTCGCCAACGTCGCCGTCATCTACCCCGACCGCTTCATCTACTCCGACAACTGCGGGCGACATTGGCCCTGCGCCGATTGGCGCCGTAACTGTCGTCGAGTCCTTCTCTGTTGGCCTCTCCGACTTCTTCGACATGGCATACAGCTTGTGCAGGTCCCAGTCTACGCATGCCCGGTGCTGGCAACACCATCGCGTGCCTTCATCCACGACGTGTCCCCGGGCCTGGCAAGCCTGGTCGGCGCTTCGTCAACTTCGTCTTCGTCCGTCTACGCATTCCCGGTGCTGGCAACACCGGTGCGTGCCTTCGTCCATGATGTGTCCCCGGGCTTGGCAAACCCGCTGCGACGCGTCGTCAACAACATTTTCTTCCCGGCGCACCCCTACTTCGACACCATTGCACCCATGCTAACTCGGCGCCCTCTTGCACCTGCGGCTCCACGGCGACTTCCTCGACACCTGCTACCCAGACTCGACATCAACCACGGCATTCTTCGCATGGCTACCTCGACCACGGCTACACCACCCACGCTCTCGGCTACATCGACAAACGGCACAAAGGGCTACCGCCTGCTTGAGCAACCTCGTTGGTTTCCACTCCAGCCACGACTCCGCGATGCGTTGACCGTTACGACTGTGGGGGAGTGTCCGTCGGCTTGCCTTCGGATTCTTCTCCAGTCTCACCGTCTACGTCGCTACAGTTGTGACTGCGGGGGAATGTTGAGTAACGTGATTGTATTAGAAAATATATGATAAACTAGGAATATTCTGGCTTGTCTTGTACTTCAAATAGATCATGTACTATATATATGCCCACGAGGCTCAAGCAGTATAACGAACCATTCCACCAATCCTCTCTCTCTCTCTTCTAACACCCGACATGAACAGTTACACAACCCCAAAAGGACAGGTATACGGCTTCGCTATACAATGCATTACACACATATATCAAATCTTATACTAGACAAAAATGCTATATACACAAACAAATTTATCAATCTCTGCGTGCCCCCGTCCCTGTTGCCACAAATCCCCTCCCCATCTCAAGCTTCACATCACCATAAACTCTCTTAAGTTTTTACTAAAATTCGATGCACAAACATTTCAAATTCAGCAAAATGCAACTTAATTACTCATTCGGTCTTGGGTTAGAAGAGTATTTTATGACAGCTGTTGTCTAATATTCTCCGTCTAGCTAGGGTTAAGGTCATAATAATCTGAGTTCCATATATTTTGCGACCAGTTCTTAATTACACCTGAATTTGTTGAAGTTAATCCATGTAAGCTCTACAGTCGCGCACTTAACTGTACCAAAGAGTTGGAGTATAAGTACGTACATAGGAGCGAAAGCACCATGTAGCCAGTAGTATGGGGAAATGAACTGATATAAATAAATTTCATGTTTTACAAAGTTATATTAGAACACAAGGGCTAATTAACACACAAACTTTGTACGTTAGAGCATATAATCATCATTGGCCGTGAAAAATGTCATCCTTTTGGATTTTACATTGATTTTACCAAAACCAACAAATAATCATCATTTTAATATGTTATTACTGGACAGATTGAAATTGTATATTGTACTAACCAGTCACCACCAACAACATCATCATCAATATTTAGAGCTTCATTTGCAAAGATGATTGCCAACTTGTACATACATAGTGCTTCACTAAGAAGACAATTTACGGCTGAAGTAAAATATATATCAAATGATAACATATACACATCATCTCTGATCTTCAAGAGAGCGACCAGTACTACACTTGCTAGCTTGCAAGCTTTTGCCATTAATACACACTCTCCATACATAATTAAACAGCACGCACGCATAGAGATCGTCCCAACTTAATTAATAATTAAAACTATGGCTAACTAGAATAGTAATCGATCAGCATGTAGTTGATGTCCAGCTCGTGTCAATTTCAAATCACCCCATATATACAGGCTAAAAACCAAAGATTAAAATCGCCGGAGAAAGGATTTAAGGGCGGCCACTCTCAGCAGCTATAGCGGCCGCATAGCAGACAATCGCGGCAAATAGCAACAACTTTTCCGGCGGGACAGATGATTTCTAGAGGTTTTTGCTGATTCTGAAGCCCTTTGGAGGGATTTGTGGAGGATTTGGCGGCGGCAGCCATAGCGTAGCGGCGAGGCTCCCGAGCAGCTATAGCGCCTATTTTGTGGGAGATTTTATTTCATGCTAATTAAAAAACACTCGAACACGCTGCTATCGGCATAGCCACCATAAACTCTAGCTAATTCATGCGAAAAACCACTCGGGGACGCACATCATCAGGTCATCGTCCCGCCCCAGCACGTCTGCCCCGCTGAAACCCGGATGCTGCTGGCAGGTTCCCGTCGAGAAGGATGAGCGCGGGCTCCCGCCGCACACGCTAACGGCGCCAGCGGAGTCTCCGCCATCGGCGTGGATCCCAGCTGCCGACCTGAGGCGCTGCACCTCCTCCGCAGTCGCTCTCAGCTTCTCCTTCAGCCTCAGCACCTGGCTGGCAGTCAGCTTGTGCAAGAACGAAGAGGAATTTGTATGTACGCCAGTGTGAGTGTGTATGAGCAAGCTTACCTCGTTCTCGAGGTGGCATTTGTGGAGGATGGCTGCGTCGTGGGCGTGCTTGAGCCTGGCGAACTCCTGCTCGAGCGTCTTGCTCTTGTGGCGCGCCCGGCGGTACTGGAACCACACGGCGACCTGCTTGGGGTCGAGCCCGAGCTCGGCGGCCAGATACACCTTCCGGCCGGTCTCCAGCTTGCGTTCCTCCCGGAAGCTCAGCTCCAGCATCTCCGCCTGCTCATCGGTGAGCCGCCGCTTCTTGGGGTCCCCTCCTCCGTCCATCTCCCAGCCGTTACCATCCCCTCCGCCGCATCTCGCGGCCCTCCGCCGCCTGCGCCGAGCCTTCGGCTGGCTCTCCCGCTGCGCCGTGCCTGCACACACACAACAACGACATGGAAAAAAGGGCATCACATGCGTGTCCTGGCCGGTGAAAATGAAGCTACTGCAGCTGCATCATCGCATGCGCAAACACCGGGGGCGCGCGGCGTCGTACGTACCATTGGCCGCGAAGAAAGGCGTGTCCACGTAGGAGGAACCAAAGAGCTGCTGGTTGTCCATGCCTGCTGTTCGGAGCTCAGGAGGGAAGAGAAGGGATGGTTGGAATTGGAAGATTAGAGGAAGGGGAGACGCGGTGGGTTGCGCTCTTGGTGTGGTGAGGTGAGGAACTGGATCGAGGGGAGGACCAACGGCCGCAAAGCGCTAGTTGAAGGAGGGGAGAGTGCGTGTCTGGAGGGAGAGAGACCTAGGCGTACGTGATATAAATAGGTGGCAGAGGTGCCCAGCGGCAAGCGCCGGTGGGGCTCCGGCCGGCTAGGTGCTTTCCGAGCCAGGCCGTCTGGCCGGGGAGATTTGAGAGTGATCGGGGGCAAACGTTGGATCCAGCCAAGTACTTTACTGTTGCACACTCACACTCACTAGCTTCCTCACTCGCCCGCGCCATTATCTGCTCATTGCTGACGCACTCTATGCCACTTAATTTTGGAGACTCTGGATTTCTTTGGAGTACATAGTTCTCTTTTTTCACAAATACGCATGTTGTGTATGAGGCTAGACATTACATTTGTAACATCGTCGTATAGCATACGCTAGAAGGCGCATACGGGAACGCATTTGAGCAAAGAGAGAGGGTTGCTCATTCCCAAGTAGCAATGAAAATTTGATTACAGAGATAACGATTCTTAGAGCATCTCTAATAGGTGCCTTATAATAGGGCCTAACCGCTTTTTACATTGCCGGGGGACAAAAACGGTGCTTCTATAGATGCCCTATACACAAATTCTTTTACTCAAAATTTACAACACCTAAAATACAACACCAATTTGCAACACTTGGGTGGCTGGAGCAAAACAAAGTCGGTCACGCACGAGTCGCCAACCGTCACGCTGAAAGTTCCCGCGCCATGCGCATCCCCACCTGTTGCCGCTCGCATGACAGCTGATGGAGCCCAGCCCATGGATGACCCCTCGAACCCCGCAGCCACCGAGCCGCTCTGGCTCTTCTAACCATGGCGGCATCACCCTCTCCTGATACACCCTTCGCCGGCGCCTCCATGTCCCCCTAATCGGCACGGTGGATTTGCGTCCCCATGACCCACCGCCCCCACCGAGAAGGAGCTGCCGGTGCAGAAGAAGACCGCCGGGACCAATCAATGAGGCGGCGGCGGTGGGAAAGAGGCCTCCGCATGAACCCTTCATCCCGTCACCATGCCCCCTCCCCTCCCGCTCCATCGCCTACTGCGACTTCTTCGGTGGCGGCTGTTTCTTTTGGACTCCCCCCCCCACCTCCAGCCGTGGAGAACGAGCTGTCAACGCTCATCGCCGTCTTCGGTAACATGTTCGACGAAATGTCGGAGAGGTAAAACAATCCCTTGTTTTTCATTTTTTTGTCAATTGGAGATGAGTGCAATGATGATGTGCATATGTGCTTATATTAATTTTTGTGTGTGCATTTGTAGTGCTGATGATGATGCATTTTTAACTTCACAAATGTTGTAAATAAAGAAAAAAAGGCTTTTGAAAATGAAAGAAATGGGGTAGAGGGCGGCAGCCAAGCAGCGCAAGGCGGCGGCAGAGGAGAAGAGGCTGCAGAGGAGCGGACGGTGGAGCTCGAGGAGAGGAAGGTGGTTGTTGACGAACTTAAGGGCGCCAAGGAAAAAGCGAAAAGACTTCTGTTCATGGACATAAGTTGTCTTGGCGTGAAGCAAGAGGCATACATGTTGATCTTCGTCGCGATGAAATGTTGGCAAAGGAGGGCATGCTATGAGCAACATGATGGGGGGCGACATGGTAGGAGGAATGGGTGGCAACATGGGAGGATTCACGGGTGGTTTGATGAACATGATGCATGGGAGGTGGCTTTGGTAAAAATGATAGGTGCCATGGGAGGTGCCTATGGTGGTGCGATGGGTGCTATAGGAGGTGGATTTTGTGGTACGATGGGTGGAGGCATAATGGGTGTCTTGGTGGAACAATGGGTGCCATGGGAGATGGCTTTGGTAACACCATGGGTGCCATGAGAGCTGGCTTCAGTCAAGGTCAAGGTGACGGCATCAATGGTGCACCATGTGACATGAACATGAAAAAGCTAGTGATGGCCATGAGGCCAATGTTCACAACGAGACCATTGTCGACACTGTGGCAAGTGACAACGGAGAAGAGGAAATTTGAAAGGCTATGATACCTTTATGTTTATGTGCACTTTTGTTTGCTTCAACGATGAACTATGTTTGATACGATGCACTAGACGCTATGGTTTGCATTTCAAATTAATATGTGGATTCGTTGGTTAATTTGATATTTTTTGAGTTATGTGTGATGATTTTGAAAAGTTCAAATTAGTCATAGCTCATATATTGGTGTATATATGCATTTGAAGACAAAAAAATTGTGGTGTGACTACCGCTTTCACTTTTATTTTAGGCCATCAATTGGACTTGAAGGGTTTTAGTGTTGTAAAAATGCACTTTATGGTTTTGCAAAGTTGCTCCAACCACCTTTTGGTGCCCGATTATAGGCCACCTATTGGAGATTCTTTTAGCCCTCTAGCAGTCAGTTTTGCTAAGTCAGTTTTGCTCAGCTGTGAGCTTCCTCCTGTATGGTGTGGACTAGGTGTGTATGTGATGGTGTGGCACCGTCAAAGATGCAGGCATTGCGATGCTTCTAGATTGTTCAAGCGGTAGGAGAAACAAGTGTCCCGAGGACCTTGCGATGGTGAGCCGGGTAGTCTTGCATGGCCAAGGACAACCATTCGAAGAGGCTAGCAGTGTCGCTGGGTAGCTGGATGGTGAGACGGAACCAGTTGAGGATATCCTGCACCCAGTTATCAGTATGATCTAAGCCGATCGACCAGTGTAAGCCAACTGCAGCACTCGACTTATGTGGTTAAAAGGCTCTTCGTTCAATATTTATCATGTATTTTCGTGTACTGTTTCTCTTACTTTATTGAAGTAGGGGTCCGAGGGGGGGCACATATGACAGTCGTTAATTTCGAGGTCAGGGCATCTCTAGCAGATCCCGTAAACCGGGCCACCCGCAAAATAATCGCCGATTTACGGGATGCATACCATTTTGCTGGCCCGAATAGATGTCGTGTATTCAACCATCCCAGAATTTTTTTGCGGGATCCTAGATACACCGGCCCATTTCCTCCATATCTGTGGGATTTGAGCTCTTTTTTAGAGGGACCTGTAAAACATAGAAACTGTTGGCGGGAGGGAAGTTTGAGCTCCCCGCCTTCCATCCTCGCCCAACCGCCACCGTCAGAGCTCTATTCCGGCCATCCTCGCCGCCGGTTCGCGCCCACGTGCAGCCCGTCATGGCGTCCGACAAGGCACGGGCGGAGCTCGACGCCCTCCGCCATCGTGCGTGCAGCCCGTCACGGTTTTGATGATGCGTGGGCGGAGCTCGACGCTCTCCTCCGCGTGTGTGTAGCCGTCACAGCATCTGACAAGGAGTGTGGCGGCAGGGGGGAGGGGGAGAAGCAGAGCCTCCGACCGGCGAGGATGGGAGGAGGGGAGCTGCCAAGGGGAGCCGCCGCCACCACTATGCGCCAGTCCGCTCGAACTGCTCCTGTACGTGGGCCGGCCAGCGATGGAGAGGAGTTGCTAGACACTGGCATCTTGAGGACCCAATTGTAATTTATATTCTGTGGTTCGGGTCTGTTGTGTTGTTTTGCATGGATTTCACCACCGGACTCGCGGGCTATGCCTACGGCCCAGGGCCGTCGGCATAGGTCCATTGCCGTCGGCATAGATCTATGCCTACGGCTGCCGTCCGCATATCCCCGTCGGCGTAGATCACGTCAGCGTAGATGTGTCAGACCGTCGGCGTAGTATAGCCGTCGGCATAGGAGCATATGCCGACGGCCGTGGGAGAGCCGTCGGCATAGTTTAGCCGTCGGCGTTGTTTTCCGTCTGACGGCAACGGACGACGCCGTCAACAGAGCTGGCGATTCAGGGGACGACACGTGGCGCATGTATGCCGACGGCTCGGCCGTCGGCATAGATGAAAATCTATGCCGATGGCCTAGCCGTCAGCATACATGCGCCACGTGTCGTCCCCCGGCTTCTCCTGGCGGCAGGGCTATGCCTACGGCAAAGCCGTCGGCATAGATTTCCATCTATGCCGACGGCTTTGCCGTAGGCATATCTCTGCCATGTGGCAGCTCCTGGTAACTCCTGGGCGTATATATGCCGACGGCTTTGCCGTAGGCATAGTTTTTTTTGTTTTTTTTATTTTCTCTGTTTTCTCTTTTCCAATTCATTTGACAGCATTTCAAAACAGAACAATATGAAATTATGCAGAAATATGACAATTCATCATGTGAACATACTCAAGTTCATCTAAACATACTCAAGTTCACCATCATCATCTAAACATACTCAAGTTCATCACATCATCTAAAGATCATCACCGATGGAAGTTCATGAACATAAAAGTAGTGCAAGACATGAAACATGATAAAAGTAGGAATATGAAAGGCATGGCACGATGGCCACATGCACGGAATCATCAAGCAAGAGCACCCCCGCCAAAACCACCACCTCCGCCAAAACCACCGCCACCACCTCCGCCAAAACCACCACCACCACCTCCGCCAAAACCGCCATCGCGACCACCACCACTCTGCCAGATCGGAGTGACTGGGGTCGACGGAGCAGGAGTCGAGCCACCGGTCCCCTACATGTTTCAGAAAAGATTCTAATGGTAAATATGATATGATAGTGTTTCATGAACGAGAACTAGTTTGCTAGTAGTTAGGCAAATGTACTAACCGGACCATCACTGCCTAGTGCCACCCATTCATCGAACGTGGGCACGTGTGGGGGTTCTCCCGCAGGTGGTGGTGGGGGTCCCATTTGTGGTGGATCCGTGCGGTTAGTCCAAGACGCCAACATAGCCTGAATGTTAGTTAAACAAGCAAACTAGAAGATCAGAAGGAATGAAAGTGCAAAAATTTAGGTTGGTTTTAAGAGGGCAAAACTAACCGTCATCATCTGACGGTTGTAATCATCGTTTTCCTTCACTCGTTTCAAGTACTCCCGCACTTCGAGCTTCCTA